TGGGTACATTGTTTTTCTCAGCTGTGTCCGACCGAGGGTTTGCTTTGTTTGATTCTGGGGTGGGAAAATTTGAGGCTGTTTGGGAATTGGGCACCGATTGAGCTGTAGTTTCAGCGGTAGTATTCGGCGGTGGATTTGGTTGCTGATTGAGTAAGTCAGCTGGTTTGGTGGCCGGATTGCTTTTACCTCTTTTGCGTGGAGGGTTTTTTTTGAAATTGGGTGTCGATGAAGAAGGGGCTGCTGTCGCGCCTTGGTGGATCTTGATTGCTTCATCATCAGGAATTTTGCCAGTTTCTTCCCAAGCTATATCAGAATTTCATTGTGGTAATTGCATGTCAGACAATTCAGGTAAGAATCAAGATGAAACATCAAACTTACTTCTCTTGGTACGAACAAGAGACTTCTCAAGTGATTCAACTTGCTCCTTCAGGCTCCTGGGAAGTTTGAGGTTGCGGAGGCCACGTGTAGCTTTCTCGGCCGCCATCATGTTTCGATTAAATTCTTCGGCAGTGATTTGTTGGATTTCAGTGTCGAGTATGGGCTCGGAAGGGATCAGTGGGGCAGACGAGCTTGGTTCATTGGCTTTGAGAGCAAACTCTTGGAAGGAAGGGGGGCGAACTGATGGAGCAGACAGGGGGGGAACACTTTGGAAGTTCTTGGCTAGTACAGTGTCGGCTGTTGGACAAGTGAGGCCATACTTAGTCAGTGTGGGTATGAAGGCAAGATCACGGGGACATACTTGGGGGAGGAGTTCCATGGCCTTCTTGAGAGACAGAATCTTCGGAATTGGTGTGGCTTTTGGTTGTATCACTTGCTGGGGAGATAGGATCCATTGTTTTTAGATGAGCTTCAGAGGGGGGTAGGACTATATGTGATGTTGAGATGGTATTCCAGAATGGATGGAATTATTATTATTTTTTTTTTGGGATGGGGGGAGGAAGGAGCAAAATCGAGAACAGGAGAGGGGTTTTTAAACCCTTACTGACGTCTCTGGAATGGGTAACAGTCCCACGGTGAAAAAAAATTTTACCATGTGCACCCACAATCTATTGTTTGTACTGCTGAGCACATCAAAGGATGATAACATCACACAGGGGATAGATAATCCTTTGTCTATAGTTTTGGGTGTGGTCAGCATCACCACCCTTGGGAAAAGCTGTGTATTTACTTGTGTTCAAGCTCACTCCACCAACATGCTTCTTATGCAATAGCTAAGATTTGGTCTAGAATAACTTTGTTGGAACCTACCATGTGGCAAGCAGATGATTATCCTCTCTCAAGGGAAATCAGGAACCGACGAATCCTCAAGTCAGGGAAAACAGTGATTGAACTTCAGGGCAAGGGCAGGACAAACCCTGTTTACCCAGCAGTTGGACAACACTTCAGACATCCTTCATAAACATTTGTGCACAGATTAAGTTGCAGAAGACACAAAGAACAAGGTTATTACACATGATGTGTGATTATTACATGAGCAGAATCTGCACCTTGGCAGGGACCAGTGTTCAAAAATGTGTCACACAAACGTACGCGCGTACGTTTGTGTGACACATGAGTGCGCTTGCCGCTCCTGCAAATCTCAAGGTTGGATGTCCCAAGCCTCTAAACCACATATGTACCATGGACCACTCAACCCCATTAATCTTCACGTACCAACTCTTTGACAAAACGTCCACACAGACCCAAAACAAGTAATATAATTTCTCCCAGTACCCAAGTACAATTCTCTATCCAAAATAATACAGCATATGTAAA